ATCGTGTTTCCACGAAAGACCTCACAAAGGCTGGAGGGCGTGGCGGACGCAGGGCGGCTGCCCACCTGTCCGCCCTGCGAGGCTGCCAGATGCTCAGCCACAAACCTGATCTAGAGGGATAGGATGCACAGTGGGGAAAAAACACACACACACACACACGAAGCCGTGCTCGAGAGTATGCATTGCAGAAGAAAGGACTTGTCCAGAATACCGATTACAATTCTGATCCCCCTCACCTACAGTACAAAAATGGCCGCGAGGGAGCTCAAAGCCAACCTCTGAGCGGTATCTCACAGGCATGGAAACAAACAGGCCTGCCACAGGTACCTCAGCTATGAAACAGGTGGGTAAAGACGGGGGGGGGGCATGAGATCAAAAATGCCTTTGGAGCTGAATAAGAGAGCGTCACGTCTACACGGAGAGGTCTCACAGGTGTGTCTGGAACAAACGCCCCAGCCGTGCACAGCACCTCAAGCTACAAATGAATATATCCCTGTGGCCAAAGTACATTTACACGGGCCTGTCCCGTACCAGCGATGCAGAGGACGTGACGTGCCTGCTGCCTTCTGTTAACTCCATGCCGCAGAGAGGCCACTGGAACATGCAAGCAAAAGAGGTCCCTGATTCTCCAGCTCCGAGCAGCTGTTAAAAGCAGTGCCTGTCACGGCGCTCTATATAGGTTAATGTGCACAGCGGGAGTCTTAGCCAATGGCAGAAGAGAGACGGAGAATATTCTTTTGAGTTAGGAACGCCTGTGCGGAGTGGAGCAGCTGGTTTTTATAAATACGAACTAGGACAGAAGCCCAGAATGGAAAGAACCAGGATTGTAGCAAGGGGAAGGCTGCAGTCGCAACAAGGAAGGGCACAGGGCACCCTGCCGAGCTCTTTCAAACGAACGCAAGGGTTCATCGACGCTCTGATGACGCCCCGAACACTCCTGCTTCCGGGGTTCTCGTAGGGAGAGTCACAACGACTCAACGCCCAGCTGCCTTCTGTCCCCGACGTGCCACAAAAACCAGGACGGCGCACCGACACGCCGGCGAACGCACCTCCGAAACACAAGAGAGGTTCTTTCAAGCTGTGAAGTTTCACTGGTGCAAAATGCTGAAGAGTAGAAGCAGAATATGCCCCCCCCCCCCCCCCCCAAAAAAAAACAAGGTCAGGAAAAAGCAATGGAGCACCCTGCATGGATGGGCTGCTGCACAACAGGCAGCCCCTACTCCCCTGACCCGGCAGTGCAGACTCCCCCTGGGTTTGGAACAGAGTTAAAGAGCCTGCAGCCTGTTACAGGCTGGTACTCCCAGCTCATGTGGCACTTGGCAGTTAACGGACCCCTCCAGCTCCATCTTTCAACAACATGGCCGGGCAGCTCCATCCAGACTCCCACACGTCTCTCCACAATCTGGGCTGAGAATCGCAGGGTGGCCAGCAATGCTCCTGCCCAGAGCCGTTCAGACACTCCGCACAGACGTGGCCGTCAGGGACGACACCCCCCGATTTCACTGAACCCTCGCTGCTCCTTTGCTAGCAGCGATCAAGAGGCTCTCGCCAAAACGGACGGACTAATTTAAATAATAATAATAATAATAATAATTGCTTACACTTATATAGCGCTTTTCTGGACACTCCACTCAAAGCGCTTTACAGGTAATGGGGTCTCCCCTCCACCACCACCAATGTGCAGCCCCACCTGGATGATGCGACGGCAGCCATAGTGCGCCAGAACGCTCCCCACACACCAGCTCTCAGTGGGGAGGAGAGCAGAGAGTAATGAAGCCAATTCATAGATGGGGATTATTAGGAGGCCATGATTGGTTAAGGCCAATGGGAAATCTGGCCAGGACGCCGGGGTTACACCCCTACTCTTTTCGAGAAACGCCCTGGGATTTTTAACGACCACAGAGAGTCAGGACCTCGGTTTTACGTCTCATCCGAAGGACGGCACCTTTTTACAGTATAGTGTCCCCATCACTATACTGGGGCATTAGGACCCACGTGGACCACAGGGTGAGCGCCCCCTGCTGGCCCCACTAACACCTCTTCCAGCAGCAACCTTAGTTTTCCCCAGGAGGTCTCCCATAAAGACGCAGGGCGCCGACACCCATGTCTGCCACTGCACGTCAGCAGAACGCATAGGGGTAGTTTTAAAAACTGCTTTTCTCCCGTTTCAGAAACCAACACAGCCTTGCACCAGCAGCAGCCAAAAAAACAAAAAAAAAAGGCAATTCACGCCGCCTGAGCTCCGTGAGGACGAAAACAAGGACACTCGGCGCCACAAGCAGGGTTATTTCTGGAAATACTTGGGAGAGAGCGCGAGGAGCCGATTCCAGAGGGCAGGACAGGCGAGGCAGCGGGACACAGCGAACGAGAGAGAGGAGGAGGAGGAGAGAGGGGAAAGGAGGGCCGAGGATGGAGAAAAACATTTTTTTGGAAGAAAGAAAGGACCATAAAAAAAAAAGATCAGAGGGAAACAATTCAGAAAAAGACTAGCAGGAAAGAAAAGTTAATGAAAGAATGGAAAGGGCTCAGTAGGGTGGTTAAAAGAAATGTCTACCACCTTGGGGTTCATTTTTAAAACTGATCACGCCAAAAAGCGCCCGAGTAGGTTTTATCTGGTCAATACTGAACTGCTGCTTTTAAAGAACGTGTGCAGGCATCAGCTACAGTGGACTAATCTGGAACGCGATCGCACCAAGGTTCGTGCATCTGAATGTCAAACGCGCATCACGTGACTTCCGGGACGGACAGACCGAGCCCACCACTGCCGTACCCCTGGAACACCGAACGTCACTCTCTGAAAATATGTCCACATCCTTTCCAGGCACCATCCAGCAAGGTTTCGGACTGCTCGCACACGAGAGCAGTACTCGTGCCCTCACTGGTGGCGTGAAGAAGGACTTTTAGTCACCCAGAGTTTCTTGAAATGACTTTCCGGATGTTTTCACACCCCTCTCCTGAGCTGTGCCTTCATGCCGATTCATCCCTGAGCGGTTCAGAAGGCTCCTTGGTCATCACGGTGGAGTCTTTGCGTCTACTCGGCCCACCTGTGGCTCATGGGGGTGATTTTGTGCGCTTTCATTATTTGAGGGTCTCCACAACACAGGAGATGAATACTTATGCAAATCAGGGCTTTTCCTTTTATTTTCCATCATCTGTCTAACTTCTTTTGATATTTTCCTGTCATTGTGAAGAGCTTTCTGTGCTTAAAACCAACATTAAAGGCGACTCCATAGTGTCATGGCTGCAGGCTTTAAAGCAACCCCTTTGTTGAGAACTGCCCCAGGCTCCCAACTCCTCTGTGTGACTTAGGTCCTGGAACCACGCATTTCAAAAATCTGGAAGGAAGCGGCACGCGACTGGGACACCCAGGGACTGAACCCGGACCCCCCCCCCGACAGACAGCGGCCCACCGGCATCTTACACATCATCCATCTCCAGGTCCTCCTCCTCCTCCTCCAGGGGAAGCAGCAGGTAGGGGTTGTCGGACGCCGGGCGGAACTTGTAGCCGGTCAGGAGGAAGAAGACCAGCGTGGCCAGCTCGTCGAGGAGCTGAGGGCAAGACAGCAGCGCGCACAGAGAATCAGCAACTGCAGCAGCTCTCTTGGCGGAGGGCTTACTGTGTGGGGTCCCTCGGTATCACAGCAGGGGCTGCTGCCCAACCTAGGCAAGAGGTCATCCCCCCCCCCCGTCCTGTGGGACTGCTAGGAGGTCACTGATCCCAGGATCTCATCCAGATGCTTCCTGAAAGAAGCCAGGGTTTCACCTTCAACCACATGGCTGGAGGAGATCATGGCACCATTGAACTCCTGGCAGTCCAGTAGGACAGAGGGGCAGATGGCAGCCTGTTCCAGCCTCCCACAACAGCGAGGAAAGCTGTTCTACTAAGTCCTTGCTGTGTTTTTTTAGGGAAACCATAAATTTACATTTTTAAAAACAAATTAAAAACGACTGTTTTGGCTTTCTTTTTCACTTTAAAAGGAAAACCCCAGGGTTAGGGGTCGGGTGAAGTCGAGACCAATCGAGGTCAGCCAGCTGACTTCCAGTCAATGGCTCACACAGCCGATCGGCCAATCAAAATCCCAAGGTCCCGGACCGGCCTTCTCCGGCCAGACAGCTCGGGTCAGACCGCCGATCCCGAAGAGCCACAGCGGGATTGCATTTTCCTCTTCCCCCCGGGCTCCTGGTCACTCCACTGAACTGAGTGACATCTCGACTGTGGGTTAACGGAATCAATGAAGTGATCAGTTAAGGATCCGGTTCCAAACCCTGCTGGGCAGCGGCTCTCCGAGAATGGGCTTGCAAGCAACTGAAGAGAGGGGTTACAGCACTGACAGTGCCCCCTCCTGGCCACGAAAGAAATCACCAGAGCAGCACCTGGGAACACAGAGCCTGAGCTTCCTCCAGCAGTCCGGCCCCCGGTGTCCTTGCAGCATCTCAAACCACAGGACCCTGGGTAATGGACTAAATAACACTATATAACAGACATGCTCGGCTGCCCTCTTCACAGAAAACATCTCCTCTGCTCAGCAGCACACCAGAGTGGATGATGTCTGCTGGCGAACCTGCGCTTACCTGATAGAGCCACTTCCACTGAAAGGGAACTATGAACTTGATGAGAATGGCGATGATCCGGGTGAAGTATATGTAGCAGACAATCTATAAGAGAAACAGAGTGGGGGGGAGAGAGGGGAGAAAACTTCTTAGCATTTTTTTAAATGAGACACGAGAGCAGAGAGCCCCAATTCTGACTCTTGAAATACGAGATCACGAACCCATGAGGACAAATGGGGCAGATGGAACATTTTAAAACCATGCTGGTGAGGAATTTGGACTGCGCCTTGCACGTTACGTACAGAGCCGGCGCAATGCCCCTGTAAACACTTGCTGTGGTGCACTGGAGTCCAGGCAAGGTGCAGTAAAGCAAGGTGAAATCAAAGACATGGTAACACAGGCCGCCTGGGCGTGCCATGGTAAAACAGAGTGAACGCACCGAAAACCTCCATGCACATTTACCCCCTGGGTAGCTCTTACAAATGTGTGAATGCACAACAAACGAAGACCAGCGATGCACATCTGAGTGCAGGTTTTCTCCCCCCCATGTCACACTCCTTCGCAAGCCATGTCTTTTCCCAGACAGGCCCGAGTCTGAAGGGCACGACGCCGAGGCAAATCTACCAGCGGTGCTGCTGGAGCAGAGGAAAAAAAAAAACACTGAAGCGCTAAACCAGCACAGCTTTCAGAAAATCCCAGCCATGGAAGTAACCTCCTTCTGAAAATAGACTGAGCTGAGGGGCTTCGGAACTTCAGAGAAGAATCCTTAACCTATTCCCTGCAAATTAACATCTATGCGGCGCTGACACTAAGCTCTGAGGGATGTTATCTCTACGCATTAAGCCTTCTGCACTTCAGATACAGAGCCTTATTAAATGCTTTCAGTGCTGCGCACAGACCTATATTCTTTTGAGGAAGAAAATTCTCTTTATGCCTGAAAATCAGAGGTAGAGGATTCAGCGCCTTCCCGAACAATAAATAGATGGGACCGGGAGAGAGATCAGCTGCAGCGTCTTGGACCGAGCCCAGGACTGAAAGGCTGGAGGTCCAGGACGCAGCCCGGGAGAAGACGACAAAGCGAGCAGAGAGAACGGGATGTCTCGTGCTGTCCCCACGCCGAGACGGAATCCGGAAGAAAAGGGAAGACCGTCAATCGTGCCACTCACACCCCCAGGAGCAGAAAAGGCAGGTGTGCAGTGTGGTCTGTGAGGGTCCTGATGCCCCCAGTATGGTGACGGGGACACTACACTGTAAAAAGGCGCAGTCCTTCGGATGAGACGGAAAACCGAGGTCCTGACTCTCTGTGGTCATTAAAAATCCCAGGGTGTTTCTCGAGAGGAGTAGGGGTGTTACCCCGGTGTCCAGGCCAAATTTCCCCCTGGTCTTTACCAGTCATGGCCTCCAAATGACCCCCATCGCTGAACCGGCTCCATCACTCTGCTCTCCTCCCCACTGAGAGCTGGTGTGTGGGGAGCGGACTGGCGCCTCATCCAGGTGGGGCTGCACACTGGTGGTGGCAGTGGGATTCCCCATTACCAGTAAAGCGCTTTGAGTGGAGTGTCCAGAAAGGCGCTATATAAGTGTAAGCAATTATTATTATTCCTTTGGTGCAGACTTGGCTGCGGATGGTTCTTTTCATCCGGCGCACACTCCTGGGACAGGCAGGAGCACTGCGGAGAGCATCGCCACCGCACAGCGGGAGAGAGCCGGAAGGCGGCAGGGGCAGTTATTTATTGCCCCTCGCTCCGAGCAAGAGAGCTGTGATTCCCCCTGGGAACGTCCAACAAATCAAGTCACCGCTGGAAAAACACTAAACTAAAGGGGAAGGGGGAGGGTTAGGCAAAACTCCAGGAGAAAGGGAACAGCAGCCGAGAGGCAGGCTGGCCGAATGAGCCATCCTGCGGCCCGCGTGGAGCAGAGCAAGACAAACAGCTCAAAATAGCTGCCAAAGCGATAACAAAACGCTTTTCCCCAAAAAAAAGGAAAAAAAAGTAATAACCCCAGCAGCCGCTGCGTGGGTAATTTGCATTTGCCTTACAGAAGTGGCAGAGACTCGAGGAGTGTCATTATCTAAAACAAACTGAAACCAACAAATCGTGCAGGCGCTCGGTTCACAAGGAGCCCTGATGCGCTGTTACATACAGTTTTTCTCTTTCTGTGCTTCTGTTATCCATGTTGGCAGGCTGACTTTTCAGACGCAAAAGTGAGCTACAGAACACCCGCAATTAAACATGTTTTTTTGGGGGGGTGCGGGGGTGGGGGTACCGTCCCTTAAAATCCAGCCAGGTCTTGCATCACTTTCCAAACAAAGGTCACAGACGAGAGGAGGCAAGTCGATCTGTTCTGGCAGCCGAGTGGCCCAGCCGTGTCTTCCAGGATCCAACAATGTGGCTGAGGGGTTCGCTCCAGACCCCCACAACTCTTTGTGCAAAGAAGCTTTGGCTGATTTCAGTCTTAAATGCACTCGGGTCAATAACACATTGCTTCATTTCACGTGAAAGCACCGAAACTTATTCGGCAAAGGCACATCTTTTGTGTTTTTGGGAAATTAGACTTGATGATGGTACCTGGCCTCCATCTATTGATCACCCATCCAATGTGACAGTGAAGATGAACTAGAGAATTAACTGGACACAACATTAAGATAAAGGGTGACCAGACACATCTATCTGAACGTAAAACACTGCAGCTCCTGCTGAGGGATGTAACTATCAAGTAAGATTAAAGCAGTTTTAACACTATCAGATAATCATGCAATGGAGAATTATTTTATTCCCAAGTCACCAGTTCCTTAGAGTGATACAGTTGTCTGAAACTGAGGGTTTTTTTGGTAAAGAACTCTGAAAGAAATTTAATACCGGCTGAAAAAAGAGAAAATGAAAGAGATTGCACTGCACTAGAAGAATACTTATTAAGATGCAAATTTCATCCTGTGCAATATACCTCCTGCTTTTCACAGCCGCATTTATCTACATTTGAATGCAGGGAGCTATGAGGGACCGAGCTCAGATTTAAACTTTTTATTCTTTTTTTAAAATGCTTAGCAAATTTGACAAATTACCAGGCTTCTGAAACACAGGAAGCTGAATTATGTTTCATCCCAATTGTGTCGCAGTGAAATTATGCCTCAGCTTATCAGAGTAAAAAAAATGTGTAACCTCCTATGCTATTAGTTTTATTTTAAAAAAAAACTCCAGGTTCAGGTGGATCCAGGCCTTCCGGTGCCGTCAACAGGAGTGTCACAGCAAACACTCAGGCGGGATGAGCGAGAAAAGACCAGAAAGGAAACGTTACCTACCATCACGTAGTAGTGTCTGAAGAGCTTCAGCTTGGCCAGGTTTATCGCTGCTAATGGAGGAAAACAAAGGGCAAGTGAGTATATTAAAATTAACACAACTCAATGAGCAATGCCAAAAGGCAAGTGCACAAAATCCGCACCAGTGCACATGAAACAATTCAGGCTCAATCCCTTTTTAGGTCTCACCTGGACCCTCTGACACACACTGGCCGTGAGAATGCACCTGCGTGATGCTGGACACCGAGTTCAGGCTGCGAGACACTGTGTCTCAGTCGCAGGAGCACGGGAACATATTTCACAGGGCACATAAGCAGTGTAGGGGCGATATAGAGGGCTACTTCATAGCATCGCACAGCGTGCGTTTGCGGGAGGAAAGAAAAATCTAAATTAGCCTCCCCCTTTAAGAGAAATCTCAGTCGCCATCTGTGCAATCTCCCGCACCAGCTTTTTCAAGGCAGTGCATCTGCAGCATTTGACCAAAATCGGGTCTTATGATTATATGTGACACAGCCATCTGGGCTACTGTGCACGATTATCTAATGCACACCAGTCACTTCCAGAAAAGGTCACAGAGAGGATTATAAAACAAAGGGGACAAAAGCAAAATCCGCCGTAGTCCCCTGTAACGCATCGCGGGGAGTGAAACACGATGCCTCACGTCGGGGATACGGGACTGCAGGGTAGGAAAAAAACCACATCCTTCCCAGAGCGCTCACAGGGCTGATCCCCTGTCCAGAATGACAGATGGAGGAAGTGGAGGATATTAAGGACGGGAGAGAGAGAAAGGAGAAGCACAGGGGGCAGCATGCCGCAGTCTCCCCACACTGTGAAAGCCCCCCCCCACCACCACCGACACAGAGATCACTCCTATTCTTCCCCCTCCTTTCTCCCAGCAGAAAGCAGGTGCGCTCGCGCCTGCCTGCACCTCTGCCCCTTCAGGCCCAGGAAAGGGCACGACGGACGTTTCTGCTCTTGGCGCGGTTGGGGGGAAAAAAAAAGACGCCCAGCAGCCAGGTACACCGATCGGGCACTTTCTAGCACGGCACAGACACGGCCCGTCCAAACCACAAGCCTCCAA